ACCTTTAAAACAAGTAATCACAAATTCCAAGAATAATATGGTGTTGGATTAATAAATACAAGTAATGAAAGCGACTTGGTGGCATCTCACGTCAATGTAATTCAGATTCTCCCCTTTTATTCTGTGTTCGAATTTTCCTATTTTCAAGAATATCTTCCTCTTTTCACCTTGTATTTTTCTACTTTATAACATGTTTTCGAATCTAATAAAAGTTCTTCAAGCGAAACCTAAACATATACCAGTATCTGAATAAACGGAGTTTTTGCTTCGTTTTTATTGAAATTACCGATTTTTAACGTTTTTATGTCTTTATATATTTACAAGTTGAAAAACAGTAAAATCTTTCATGAACCAAGAGTATGATGTTGAGTAAAAATTTATCAGCTTCTCAATACTTAATATATATATATATATATATATATATATATATAGGGATTCATTCAAGGAAGAACTAAATATTTTGTGGTAACCATGAGATCTAATCTCAACCACAAATCAATAAATAAATTAGAAAATTTATAATTTTGGTAATTTTAAATTAAAATTAAAATATATATATATATATATATATTGACTAAAATTTAATACAGTGATTAACATTATTTGTTTCACAATATGAACTTTTTTGTCGTGCTTACAAAACAAAAAAGTATTTAAAAAAGTTTCACACTGTGAACTGAGTATGTATGAAACAAATAAATTATTATCAATACATTAAATAATATACTTAGATAGAAAAACCCCACGTGAAACAAAACTTTAAGGTAAAAGTTCTTATAAATCTCACAAAGTAAAAAAAATGTTAAAATTTTATTTCTTTTTGGTAAGTTTTTATGTTAATTAACCAAAAACAGTAACTTTTCCCCCTGTTTTTGCAATTATCGTTTACTTTTTTTTTGTCAAAAACATGTTAAATATTTAATTAATTATAAATACTTTACCAAATTATACRACATTTTGGTTATTAAATATGCATTTCCAACATGATTATTTTAACAAAACAATCAAAATTTCAAGATCCCAAATTATGAAAATTCAGTTAATCTATACTATATCATAAAACATTTGATAAAAACTCTTAAAAATCATTTTTAATACATAAAACACTACTTAGTAATGTATATTACAAGTAAATTATGCGTAAGTATAAGTTATTAAGTTTTATGTTTAAATTCGTGTAACTAACTATACATAAATATAATCATATACATGATACTTTTTTTATTTAAAATATAAATCAAGATAATTGTTGAGTTTTAACACAATACTTAGTTATTATCTTTATAAAAATTATTTATTAAACCAAAAATAAATTATTTCGTCATAACACCTAAATTGAATTACAATAAAAAAATTGAACTAAAGAAATTACACAAAAAATGAGAACTTGTATATATTTTTTTCTCTTTTATGATATCTTCAAATTTATATTTTATTAAGAAAAAAATTATTGTTTGTTCAAAACCACATAAATTCATATTATAACATCGACAAAGCCCAAAAAAATAAAATAAAACATTGAAATCGAGATATATCTCGTTATGATTAAGCAAATATCATTCTAGTGATCTAAATTTGATTCAAACATCCTTAAAAGCATGTATAGTTGTATTTCTGGAAGAAAAAAAAAACTTTATATATATAGTTGGTTTTACGTGAGACCAAAGGTTTTTCATGAAACCTATAAGACTAATTTATGTTCATTGATCAACTTTATAAGCTAATGATCTAATGGTCTAAAGTTGGACGGTGACAATCTTGTGATTGGTGTTTATGAATGTTCAGATTGTCATATTGTAAATCTAATCTAAGGGTTCAAGAATTAGTCTTACGGATCTCATGAAAAACCCTTGTTCTTACATGATTCCAAGTCTATATATATATTTTTTAAAATTATAAAAGTAAAATATATTTTTTTCATTTGAGAGTTGAGACATACCTTTAGACAACCTCAATATGGAGACCAAGTGGTTTGTTAATGCTGGAGGAAGGTTGAGTAGGGGTAGGATTGGAAGTAGTGGGCTACATTTTGGAGGGCTATACCTCTTAATTTAATACACTTTACCCCCTTTTTTTATATATTAATTAATTAATTAATTAATTATCTAACTAATTAATTACACTAAATCTAACACTATTTCTGTAAATCCCCTTTGGCTTGGTTTAAGGGCCAAACACACTCTCCCACATGCTCCATGTGATTTTAGAATATTAAAGACCATGTGTCCATGACCCGAAACTCTAGGACATCGTTTGGTTTATGGGTACGTTTTCATTCACGATTAGGGAAGCCGGATATCGACACTGGTTTATACGAAACCTGAGAATATTGTAACACTTCAAAGCCCAAAACAACAAGCTGACTCAATAACTTCAAATCCAACTTAAAACAATGGTGGAAGTTATTGATAACCCACTACTTGAGCTTTATAAGAAGCTCACAGATCCCATTTTCTATCAATGTGAAACGAAACGGGTTGTTACAGATATTTTTCTAATAAATGTGAGCCTTATTGCTATTTACTTTATTAGCTAAGATTAATGACTCGTTCATAGCCGAAATGAGGCTGGGACCATATATCGGTATTGCTTCCATGAAGACAAGTTTCTTGATATAGCAAATGGCAAAAGAACACATTGTCTCATACAAAAAAGAGAGGGAGTTAAGGAGATTAAAAACCATTATCCCACCAAACCCATAAAAAACACTCTACAAAATCTCCCAAAACCCCATGAAGTTGTTCATGCCAATTGAACCCATRTAGTAGAAGTAGAGTGCTCACACCCCAATGAAATCCAAATCCAACCATACCCACAAGAACAACACACAAAAAGGAAATCTTGAAAATTGAATGTAAAACCCAAGATTTMTTGAAGAGGGTTTGACCAAAATGGTCAAAAGCCAAGATTTTTTTTTTGTTATAAAAATAGGAAAGTGATCTTTGATTATATGTTTCCATGGTTTGGGTTTAAACCAAAATATTTGACATAATCTCCCCTCATAAATACCCTTCTTTCTCATTAAACACATAGGTGGGTTCGCCCTAGGATTTGGGGCAAATGGTCTCGATTGTTGTTGAATAACACCCCTACCCCGCCCCATCCCACCCCACGCCCTGCCCCTATGCTTTATTCTCTTTAATTTCGATTCTTTGAGGTTTTTAAGCAGAGAAGAGAAGACCCCCTTGCTCTCTCCTTCTTTAGTCACTGTTGTCTTGTTCAACCCACAAGAATCTCTCTCTCTCTCTCTCTCTCTCTCTCTCTATATATATATATATATACACACACACACATAGAGAGAGATACAGTCTCTGCATTGCTCTCTTTGAAATCTGATATTTTTCTTGAATTTTGGCCTTTGTTTTCTTTTGTTTATTTGGTCTGTTTCTTGCGTACCCAACAACAAATAGGTGTAAGTGAGAGAAGATATAGACCTCCTACAGAAAACAAAGCCCAACTGGGGTTTCTCTCTTTGATTTGACTCTTTGTTTGCAAATTTGAAACCAAAATGCCAAGAAACTGCCACTTTCTTCTCCTCTTTATATCCTGAGATTCAACATAACTCTGTACTTTTCTTGTGGGTATTCATAAAAACACAATCTTTACCCATCTTTTTTCTTTGTTTTGTTTCATTTCATATTCATTTGRCCCCCAATTTTTTGAGGGAAAGATTCAATTTTTTTGGACTCTATTCCTTTGAATCTTAAGTCGTACTCTTACTTTCTGTAAATTCATTATTGGGTGTTTGTATTCATATATATATTTATGTATATATATGAAGTTTTGGAACAATGAGAGATGAAAACTGCAAGAAAACCAAGGTCTGTTCTTTTCAGATTTGATTGTTTTTCTTGTGAATACAGCTCTTATTCATTGTGAATATAACTCTTTATTCATTGTGAATGATTCAAGGTTTCTTGGCCTAAAACCCTCAAGAGATGGTTTAATATCAAGAGCAAAGCTGAAGATTTCCATGCTGATGATTTCAGTTCTGGAGGTGATTTTTTTCATCATTTAAATCTTTTTTTTTTTTTTGTATTTTTTTTAGGGAAACATCAATTGAGTTGCTGTTTGCTTTATTTCTGTATCAATGACTGTATGCTTCTGTACATATCACATTTGGAATCTCTACTTTTTTTTTCTCTCAAGATCTGTTCTTTGTTTTCTTTTCCTTTTTGTGGGTTCTTCAATTAATCTCGAATTTCAATGGAATTTAGAATTAAAATCGCCATTTTTGCAGCTTTAATCGAAGCTCTCTTGATGGGTTTTCCATTATTTGCAGGTGGAGATGAAGAATGGAGGAACAATTTCCATGAAAGAGAAACCTGCAACATCAAGAAAAACAAAAGAACAGGTGCCATTTTCAGACTATTTATTGCTTTTTGGACCACAAATCAACTTAAAAAAAACCCCCATTTTGAAAAAGGTTCCATTTTTTCAGAGAGATCAAGCAAGAAGAATCGAAATAAGGTTGATCTTGATGCTGCCCAAGTGAGGGATGTCGATAATTATAGGTGTGTTTTCGATCTAATCTCGATCTTTGATCGATGTTCTTTGTGGGTGTTGTTCATATGTTCTTATTCCTTTTCGAATTTTTCGATAGGATCTTCGTAGCCACCTGGAATGTCGCCGGAAAATCGCCAACCGGTGGTTTGAATCTTGAAGATTGGTTACACACTTCACCTCCTGCTGACATTTATGTTCTTGGGTGAGTCCTATTTGCCCCATTGCTGTTTGATATATACAGGCCCAGGTTCGGGAAAACCGTAAAAAAAATTGAAAAACTGAGGAACGCCCTCGCAAATCATTAACGATATGCACATGTGCATATAACCTGCACATAAACCAAGAAACAACTTCAATTACTTATATGCAAGTGTTGATATCATCATATAGATGAATGGTACCAGGGTGTTCCTCGGTTTTCCATTTCTAACCTCTGTGTCAGATGGGGGTTTTTCACTTTCGGGACTCAACACTGATTGGATGATTTGTGTATGTCTAACCTTTGTTGGAGGCGGCATGTTGGAGTCCCATAGCTGCTAGACTTGAACCTTCCTTCATTCTCGAGGGTTCTTTTGAGACTAATTCAATGGGGTTCTATATATTCTTACACCGCTAATGATGTTAAATATGATGCCTTTTGGAGATCAGGTTTCAAGAAGTCGTTCCTCTAAACGCTGGAAACGTATTGGGGACGGAAGACAACGGGCCGGCTAAAAAATGGCTAGCGCTCATACGGAAAACGCTTAACAGTCTTCCGGGAACAAGCGGTGGATTCCACACCACCTCACCGGTCCCCGATCCAGTTGTGGAGTTAGACGCAGATTTCGAAGGATCCACGAGACAGAAAACCGCGTCTTTCTTCCAACGTCGGTCTTTCCAATCGTTGAGTCGTAGCATGAGGATGAGGGAGAGCGAAATGGCACCACCACAGCCGCAGTTCGAGCGCCGATATAGCGTATGCGATCGTGCCATGTTTGGAGACCGGCCGTTGGATTATGAACCTTATTTCCGATGGGGTGGTGGATCTTCAGATGAAGATAATGGGCCCGATGATTCACCTAACGACACACATTACTCACAAATCCCGTTTAGCGGATCTTTTTTGATTGAGGATAGCGATAAACCGACCGGAAACTCGAGATATTGTTTGGTTGCAAGCAAGCAAATGGTTGGAATATATCTAACAGTTTGGGTAAAGAGGGATCTTAGAGATAGTGTTAGAAACATGAAAGTTTCTTGTGTAGGTAGAGGATTAATGGGCTATCTAGGAAACAAGGTAAAAAACACTCTTTTCTCTTTTACAACAAATCTTTTAAGCGTGCATCTGGTCTGGTACGTAGACAAGACTCGACAAGACGTGACCCGTGACCGGTGACGTACGTGGGTGAATGAGACATGAGTAGTTTAGTAATTTACCTATTTTGTTCGTCTCCTTGACTTTTGTGGGTGAATTAGGCATGGGTAATTTAGTAATTTACGTATTTTGTCTGTCTCCATGAATTTTGTGGGTGAAAAAGATGTGGGTAGTTTAGCAATTTACCTATCTCGTCTTCCCCTTGACTTTTGTGGGTATATTAGACATGGGTAGTTTAGTAATTTACCGATCTGGTGTCTCCCTGGCTTTTCTTCCACCTATTTTGGTGGGACAAAAACCTGTATTTTTGTCCAACCCAGTCATGTCCTGTCCTGTCTTGTCCAACGTACCAAACGCAAGGTAATTTCAAGAAATCTTGATTCATATTTGAAATGATTTCAGGGTTCGATCTCAATTAGCATGTCATTGCACCAAACAAGCTTTTGCTTCATTTGTAGTCACTTGACTTCGGGCCAAAAGGAAGGCGATGAGTTGAGGCGAAACTCGGATGTTATGGAAATTCTGAGAAAAACTCGGTTTCCGAGAGTGCAACGAATGGGAGATGAGAACTCGCCTCAAACGATCCTCGATCACGAGTAAGACCAAGCTTTTTTTGGGTTCCGAATTCAATTTTTTTTGCAAGATTGTGTAGATTCTAGGTTCTGTATACAAACTGAAAGAGTATATTTGCATACATACAGTCGGATTATATGGCTTGGCGACTTGAATTACCGAATTGCCCTTTCATACCGAGCTGCTAAGGCACTTGTAGAGATGCGTAATTGGAGGGCATTGTTGGAAAATGATCAGGCAAGTCTCTAGGAACTTTGTTACATGAGATCCAACTATCCATGCTTTATTCATAATGAATGTCGTGATAGATCATGAAAACTATTCTTAATGAAAATGTATGACATTCATCATGACTATTCAGGGTTATTCATTATGAATAATACATGAAATACTTGTGGTTCTCATTTGAACTTACAGGTGCTTGTATAAATTCATTAAAGTTATCAATTTTTTTGTATGATTACAGCTTCGAATAGAACAAAGAAGGGGGCGAGCGTTCTACGGATGGAACGAAGGGGCGATATATTTCCCTCCAACTTATAAATATTCAAATAACTCCGACCGATACGCAGGCGATGATATGCACCCGAAAGAAAAACGAAGAACTCCCGCATGGTAAATCCTCTTCGGAAAACAAAACTTGAATAAAAAACAAACTCCGTTCGTTCCCGTCATCTTAGAACTAAATTCGACTAAAATTTCTTTTGAAGGTGTGATCGAATATTATGGTACGGTAACGGACTCCATCAAATGTCGTATGTTCGTGGGGAATCAAGATTTTCGGATCATAGACCCGTCTATAGCATATTTCTAGCGGAAGTTGAATCTATCAACCGTAACCGAATCAAGAAAAACTCAAATTGTTCTTCGCGGATTGAGGTCGAAGAACTACTTCCATACTCACGCGTATATGGCGATCATAACTTATACTGAGGATTCGCTTAGCATCGTAAGATCTCACTCAGTTCACTACAACAAAATCGATTTTGTAGGACGTTAAAATGTCTAATAGACTGCTTTATAGGACGTTACATATGTCTAAATGTTCCAATGGACTGCTTTATAGGACCAAACAATTGTGCTGTCATATGTAAAAGTGTTCTTTTAGGACATAAAGTGTACTATTAGCTTTATTTTATACAGACATTTTTTCAAATATATCATATAAAAAGATTAATAAGACGTTTTATTTCCAAATTGTCCTAAAAACTTATCAGCTTATTTTAACACCTTCACATATGACGCACGATTGTTTGATCCTATAAACTTAAGTTTGTTTCTGTAATTGGATTGTTAATCAAGATTCTTCATGTTCTCTTCAGGAAGCAAGCATTTTGCATTTCTTGAAGAAACCGAAGAACACGAATTCTGTTTTCCGGATTCTGCTCGTACGAGTACCAGACCACCGTTGTTAGATAAGGTATGCATACGGTTTTACGTTCAAGGGGAAAGATCGAAAAGATTAAAGCTTTATATTTCAATCTGTTTTTTTCCTAATCATGGTTATATCGATCCGTTATTCATAACAAGATTTACAGCAGGGAAACCCGAAAAATAGCCGCGTACGAAGATTCTGGCCGAAAGTATGACATTGATGAAGGTGCCAAGTTCTTCAAGAATCCGAAAAAGTTAGACCCGTTGCTTCATCTGAGCAGGTTCAAATGAAAACCGTAAATATTTTGAGGATCTGAGAACCAACTATTTTATTAATTATTCATAATGAATAACCTAAAATATTCATGATATTCATTATGAATTTTTTTTATTCATGAGTAGTCGGTTCTCAAGTTCTCAAAATAGTTAGTTCTCATTTATCTAGACTACAGGTTCAGAAAAAGAACCATAAATATTTTGAGAATCTGAGAACCAACTATTTTGTTGATTATTCGTAATGAATAACCCTAAATATTCATGATTGAATATCTATTCATAAATAGTCGATTCTTACGCTTTCAAAACATTTATCGCTCTCATTTGAACTTGTCCTTGAGAACCAACTTTTTTACGAATTATTCATAATGAATAGCCTTACAACCTCATGATGAATATCAATTCATGAACCGTTGGTTTTCAAGTTCTCAAAATACTTACGGTTCTCATCTGAACCTACCCATTGCCTTATCCGAAACCCCACAAACTAAAGCCCGATTCTTGAACTCATACATTTCGTTTCTTGATCAAACAGAACTCGTGCGTCATCATCACTCATTCGCAATCGATGATAAAAAAAACCAAAAAGTGTTCACAGATCAGGTACTTATAACTAATGATTTCAATCTGTTAACATGTTTCTTGATGATTTTCTTGGCTTCACTTTTATGATCAAAATTTGCCATATTGCTTCTGCAGACTGTGATCAATTCATCAAAAGTGGACTGTTCATCATTCTTCTGAAATCCCCAAATCCAGAATGCATCAAGAACTTGTACATTCTGCATCGAAAACTTGTACATTTTTTGTGGCCAAAATCAAGAGACAGAAATGGGTTTTGAAGCTTTTGTTGTCTGCTTTGATGGGTCCATGGTTTTGTACTGAAAAGGTGGAATTTTTACTGAAAAAGATAAAGTTAAAGATTGTTGATTGTCTCACTGATACTTCATTTTCCTCTGGGTTGTAAATTGTAATAAAAGAGTAAGTTACGGTTTTGGTCCTTGTGGTATGTTGTAAATTACGACTCACGTCCCTATAAAAGAGGAAAAAACGGAGTCTTTGTCTAAAGAAATGCGTTGAGAAATGGATCTTTTACTCGGACAAGTGCTACAACCGTTGAACCGAGGGTTTCTGTGGTATTCAAGTTGTTATGGTTATAGCTTCTTTTACTAAAGGAGTTAACAAAAATTTGTTAATCTAGTAAAAACTAGGGGTATTTTGGTCTTTTTATATGTATTTTTTTTCTTTTTTCTTATTAAAAGAATAAGAAATATATTATATGATTTGAAAAGCCAAAAAAACTGTGATAACCTAGAAAATTGGTGCATCATGTGTTATTTTATATGACCATTTCCATCTACGGTTTGGATTCAGTGTATTTGTTTTACAATATGAACATTTGTTTATGTGTTTGTGAAAGGAAAAATACAACTAAAAGTTTCACATTATGAACCGAATATATTTGAAACTAACACTTTGTGTGAAACAAATATATGTTGATTAATATATTAAATTCTAGCCATAGATGAAAAAAATCATGTGAAATAATATTTTATGATAATAGTTATCACAGTATATGTGATTTTCAAATGATTTAATCTCCCATAAAGCAATTTCGTTTTTATTTTATATTTTATTATTATTAGAAAATATATATTTTACGTTAAATTATTAATCACCAACTATCGACCATTTTCTAGATATAATTGCTTTTATGTTTGTCTTATTTATCTGATCTTCAAAAAAAGAGAAATACGATTCCAAACAATTTAAAAAAATAATAATATTCCCAATTGGTAATTCCAATTATGCCCTTTGATGGTTTAACTAGGTTAACAAATTTACGTTAGCAAGATGAACGGACCATGGCCATAAAAAAATAATACCATAAGGACCATATCTGTAATCAATAAAACATAAGGATGTTAATTGTAATTTTGACATACCAGAGGGACCAAAAGTGTAATTAATAAAGCAGAAAACATTCATATACCTTCCCTTTTGTTCAGTATTTGAGTCTCTGGCTTGTGGGTGTACAATGTGGTCTTTTCGGATATTTGGGATTTCTTTGCCTTCTTTTTTTTGCTTTGAGAAATCTTGAAAAGGGTGATTTGGGTACAAGATTTATGAAATGTACAACTCTTAATGCATAATGTACAGACTGTTAAAGCGTTATTGCTTACGGTTTCAATTATAAGTTGAAAAAAGGTTCCGACTTGCAACTATCACGTGGGGCTATGACATCATGTTGTACTGTAGTGAATTCAAAAGATATCTCGGTATCTGAACTTACACAGCAGGCTGACACAATTTTCATGCGTAACTAATGTGATTTGATGACAATTTAATATTAACATGCAAAACAGTTGATATATCTTTTAAAATACTGGAACAAGAATAGGTTGCAACCCAATTTAAATTGCGGGAAGCTCACATGTTATACAGTACAGGGTCTCTTTGAATTAACAACTACACACATACAGTATTCTTATGAAGTGTCCAGGCATGCTAACTGAACCCTGACTTAAACTTGTCCAACATTAACCAACGAATTCCCTGATGACGCCCCCAACGAGGGTACGTATGATTTCACAGATTACGTACCGAATTCTCCTTCTGCGTACTAAAAGTCGACCACTTTGATATATGTGCATAAGGTCGTTCTTGGCCTTTTACGCCAAAGGTTTTCCTTTTTCTTGGATTTGAACACTACCAACATAAACGTGTTCTACTAATTGATCAGTAAAACTCATGTTTGATGTCAAAGAGATACCTTATGAAGTTAAATATCTGGAACGATTTTTGCTAGGTTTCATATCTGGAATGATTCTTACTTTGAGTTTGTGCATCTTCTGATTGGGGTCACTGTAGGCACAGATCCATGAATTTTTTCAAAAGGTGACACAATTTGACTATAAGAAAACAAATATAGGGAAAACTTCAAATGGTAGCACCATTTAACTATAAGAAACAAATATTAGGAAAAAAATTTCAAACGATGACACCATTTGACTAAGAAAATGATACTAACATGATTCGAACTCAGGTCTGTGGTGGAATAAAAGTCTTGCAAACCAACTCTACYAAATAAAATTTGTTCTCATTGTAATTTCAAATTACATACTGTGGCACACAACAAATTAATACAGTTGCACCTTTCATAAACCTAAATTTTTTTTACCTTTCGGCGAAGAAATAATGTGCACCGTTGGCACCACTGTAGGTCCGTCCATGGATCAACGACTTGCATACCATATCGACATTCATCCGAACATGTTCTCCTTGGTTCGAGTCATGTTCCAAGCATTGACCATTCAGTCCCTAAACTTCCAACTTTCATATTATGACAACTTTAACCCCTCATTTGACTTTTCTTTTCATTCTGATCCCACTTTTAGGCCGTTACACTTTCTCTAAAGAAACAAACTTGACACATACTCGACGCTTAATTACCAATGCAAGACCGTACCCTCACATTATCTAAAACAACAAAGAATATACACCCAAAAAAAAAAAACAATCAAAAGACAGGGTTTTCATACTGACCGAACACTCAAAATAAAAAGATAACACATACTGAAACCATAAATTAACTTAAAGACATAACACAAAATCGACATCATGTGAACTAAACACAACTACAAGCCTTTAAAACAATACCTAATAGACTCCCTCTCAGAAAAACTATACCAGATACAGTTTTTTTTTTATCTTATTTCATTAACAGATAATTCAGATATTTAACCACCAATCAGTTTTTTTTTTCTAATTACATCTAAATACACATTATATTATTTGAAAATTAGAAAAAAAGTAAAACAACTTTTTGGTCACTAATAGGGTAAGAAGCAAAGGGTACTTTAGGGTTTTCAATGAACATTATTACCAACACTATGCAATTGCACTCAAAACTAGAATTAAAATCATGGGTCAAGTTTTTTTTGAAGTGCTCAAGAATCTTCAACAAAAATAAACCACTAATTATTACCAATTTGGCATGCTCAACCATTTATAAATTATTTCAAAAATCATTCACATTTAATCATCATATAATTAAATAAATATATATATATATATATATATATATATTTAAAAAAACATGCATTTTTTTTATAAATTAACACAAGATTTTAAGAATATTTGGTGATGGGAAAAACATGACCAAAATACCCTTATAAAATCATGCTCTTTTGGTAATAATTACAAATTGATAATCATTATGTTATGGTTTATTTGGTTTTTTACTTATAGAGTAAATTGCATAAAAAAGTAACGTTTTGGTATCTAAGATGTAAGGTTTTAAACATTTAAATATTCGGGTAACAAGTTGAAGCATAACTGGTTACCATGCTGATGTGGCGAGTGATGTGGTATCTGGCTAATGTTTTGGCAAATAACACTGAGTTGGATACCACATCACTCGCCACATCAGCATGGTGACCGGTTAATGTTTCAACCGGGTCCTTGGGTACATAAATGTTTAAAACTTTACATCTTAAGTACCAAAATAGAAGTTTTGAAAGTACGTTATCCAAAATATGAATCAAATCAAAGTACATTACTTTTTTCATGCAATTTGTCGTTTATTTATATTATGAAGTGTTTGTGATGATAATAATTGTATTTTTAAAATAACATGTTCATATAATTTGAAAGTAGTTTGGTCATTTAAACGATCGACATCGACTGTCAAGCGTCTCTCGTCCTCTTCTGATACGTTTATTTATATATGTTTTGTAATAAAAATCGTTAAATATTTGTAAT